GTTATATTTGAGCTTACCAACTAGTATATTAATCTTACTTACTTACTTACTTACTTACGCCTGTTACTCCTAATCGAGCATAGGCCGCCGACCAGCATTCTCCAACCCACTCTGTCCTGGGCCTTCTTTTCTAGTTCCATCCAATTCTTGTTCATTTTTCTCATATCTATCTCCATTTCCCGGCGTAATGTATTCTTTGGTCTTCCTCTCCTCCTTCGACCTTGAGGATTCCATATGAGGGCTTGTCTTGTGACGCAGTTCGGTGTTTTCCTCAATGTGTGTTCTATCCACTTCCAGCACTTCTTCCTGATTTCTTCCTTCACTGGGATCTGATTTGTTCTCTCCTACAGTATATTAATCTACTCTACACTAATCATCTAAAAGTAAACTAACTAGGTTCAACCTCAAATAGAAATAAGGGTATTTGAATTCTATAAATTCATAACTGTATATCATATATAATGACTTTTCTATACTCGGTGCTCAATATCTGTCAAACTATTCGTTCGAATCTTGACGAATATTCAACTAAATATATGTGATACAATGATGTAGTCAACTCCGCCTGAAGCTCCTCTAAGGCTACTGCCGGTCATGTAAAAAATAAAGAAAAAATTGGACAGAACTAAAAAAAGATGGCCCAGGATAGAGTGGGTTGGAAAATGCTGGTTGGGGGCTTATGCTCTATTGGGAGTAATAGGTGTAGGTAAGTAAGTAACAATGGGCTAGTCAAAAGTTACTTTAATGTATGTTATTAGCCAATAAAACGCTTCATAAGACAGTCATTGGGTATAGAATTTAGTTTGGCACAATAAACTTCCTACTCTACTATTAGTCTTTTCACTCAGTAACCGCTCAGGAGATTGTATATAGACCACGTTATAATAGCATAATGGTGTATTGTTGAAATAGTGACCTAAGACTCATATATATCTTGCCTTATTATCTATTAATTACTTTACTGGATAAAATAGATTCGTACCAATAACGAAACTGTTCTGAATTAGAACTTACTATAATTAACATAGTTTGTATTGAATGAGGTAAATGAAACTTTAATTTGATTCTTAGTTAAAACAATATGTAATGTAATTGGGCTTTCATTGATATTCCTTTTAAGAACAAATAGAATGTATTAAACTAGTTGAATAGGAAACAGGGAATATATTTATTTCTGTAGTATCTATACTTTACAATAGTTGAGATCATGAGCCAATTAAAGCTGTACAGATATGGGAAACCTTGGAGTATAGATCGTCGGTTTCGTCCTATTGTGGGACTACCTCATCAGTGCGCATCCACGATCCCGCCTCGCGGGATTCGAAACCATGACCTATCAGTCTCCCATGTGAGCGCTTAACCACTAGACTACTGAGCGGGTCGGTATCCAACGGTGTTAATGTCTAATTCCAACTAATCCACGAAATTGAGTGACACATCCATCATTGTCTCACAACAGACTTGGTTGAACTCGACTGGTCACTGCCTCCCATTAGAACTCCAGCAAATACACCTTGAAGTTAGTTACTAGTAAGCATATGTTGATTAGTATCAACTGACCCATGATTTCAACTATTGAAATTACTACAACTTCCACAAAACCCCTTTTGATTTATACTTTTATCAAAACCCAAGAATATCTGTGTGAGGACGGTCGATGAGTGAACTCCAGAAATTTCTAAGATGCGAAGATATTCCATCCAATTTTCTTTTCGAAGAATATTCCATAATCCCTACGTGTAGCTTCCCCATTGGACAAATGCTAATAACCCCCTGTATGCGTATTAAGGACTATAATGATGATTTCGTTTTACGAAAAATTATAAATACCTGACAGCTTTGTGCCACATTGGACACTATTTGGAATACCATTCATTTCAATTGCCTTTTGTTTTCTCATTTGCGACTTGGGAGGGTTCTAGCGTTCGAGTGCTCAAGTTGTACGCAGTATATTAAGAATCTAAGCTCTAGATATAACAACTGGCGACGGGGTTAACTTATCACGATGTCATTTACCTTTGGCCAATTTGAAGCTGTGCTGGAGCGTCAAGGAAAAGGTTACGAAGCTCTAACCCAGGAAATAAATTTACAGTCAGTCAGTCATCTAAAACGTAAGACCAGGCACATATATACAGCGATCCAAGTTGCCATACCACATTAGCACAACAAGATGAACACCGGATTCATACAAGTAGTTAAGTCAATGATGGTAATATATGAAAGAATGACTGCATATAAGGGCATAGTACAGGAAGAAAGAATGAGTTGGTAGAAAGATATGAAGCAACTTTATTCTCATAGTTTAAGGGAAGACAGTGATTGTATTCACCTACGTGATTGTGATCGATTCTGAGCCATGTCACACACAGTCTTCAACCACTGGTTACGATAGTCACGCAGACCTCAACCAAGTAGTCTGCATCTACCAACATGGTTAAGACTAGAAATTAGTGACTTTAAGGATTGATCTCTAATGCTGGTATTTTATGACAAGATAAAAGAAAGTAGCATTTCACCTATAGACATAAATAGTCAATAATTTCTTTAATATTATTTTGATAAATAAGCCGTTCATTCGTTGACCATCAACTTACATCACGAATTTTACAGGTTTATCTTGTTAATTCATTGAAATCTTATATATTTGAATCTATTTAACTGATCTAATCTCTGAATAACACATTCAATTTATACAGTGATTGTCATTAATAATGAAGTACTTTATGGTGATTTATATGGTTCTTATAAGTAAATGTATAAATTGTGAAATCTTTATACTTTATAGAACACAATAGTTGAGTGGATAACACGATGGCTTTGGAAGCGAATGGTAGTGGGTTCGATTCCCAGCTGACAAGACCTAAATAGGACGAAACGCCCGTCCTGGATTCCACTGACAGCCACCATTCATTTTTGCTTAGAATGATTGTGAATTAAGACAATATCGTGGCAATACGCACATTATGCTCGTATGCCAATAACAGATTGATCGTTTACAGTCTTAAATCACAATGGGAAGATTCATACAAAACGATACCAAGTAAAGTTTATAATAATGTTTGCTTTAATTTCTAACGATTTAGTCACATATTGATAGCTGAACTAAATCCTTTGGTTATATATTCCAGTCCGTTTAAATATACAAATGTTATGGATGCTATTTACAAGATTGATTATAAGTAGTATGTAGAGGGATATCACATGGGAATTGCTGAAATCGACAGTCGAAGACCGGAGTATTCGAAAGTTTAAAGCATAATGATTACGGAATATTTTTGAGACCATAAGAGAAATTAGAAAAGATGGTTTACAACCACTTTAAGTTTTAGAATACACAATAGATACAAATGGAAGGTTGAATATATTTCATAGATAATCTATATTCCCTATATATATAATCTATCTAAGTTTGGTTTGTTCGTACATTACAGCAACAATATTCACAAATGATTGATCACTAGGTGTTGATCAATGTCATGTGTGTTAAGTCCTTCTTAGTGTAGTTCGAATGCTATCGACCAAGTTGAAATATGGCCAATAGTCTAAGTGATTCGACACTGTTTGCACTATGTAGAGATAAGATGGTAGGTAGGTAGGTAGTCAACTTGGTCAATAGCATTCGATCTGCGCTAAGAAGGACTTGACACACATGTCATTGATCACCATCCAGTGATCAATCAATTGTGAATACATTTCAGTCCTACAGAAGTCGATCGCGGCTCAGATAGCCAGCTAGTAATGTCTCTGACTGTGAAACTGAGTGAAACGGGAGCATTAGTTCACTCAAGATTACAGGTACACCTTACTGACGAGTACCAAATAGCGAAAAATCTGGGTCCAGAGTTCCCTCTGGACTACCTCCAACTACCATGTTACACTAAAAAAATCGATTATTAATAAATTTTATATAAAATGCTTAAAGTTTATTGTCATGCTAAACAGTTTGAAACTTAAGTAGAGACAGTGCAATAGCCAGTTTGTTTTTCCACCTTTCTTATCCCCCACTAGCAAAGAAAGTAATTCAATTACACAATTGGATTCATCTTAAACATTCTCTATGTTATGATAATATGATCATGAAGCTCTCATTATCCTTTTGGATAATATTATTAGCATAAACTTTCAATAGAAATGAACTATTCAAATTCCTATACATATAACTAACATCAGAAGGGGTTTTGTGGATATGATAGTAATTTCAATGGTTAATATCATGAATCAATTGAAGCTAGACCACCATGGAAAACATTAGGACGAAACAACCGTTCAAAGCTTCAATTAACTCATGATTTCAACTATTAAAATTACTATAATATCCACAAGACCCTTTCTGATATTAATTAAAATATGCCCACTAGAGACTGGCTTCACGAGAGGTTTCCTAGAGTTCTAATGAGAAGCTGTGACCATTGGAGTTCAGCCGGGTCCGTTGTGAGATGGTAACTCATTGATGACAATGATGGATGTGTCGCTCAACTTCGTGAATTATTTGAAGTTAAACATTAACACCGTTGGATACTGACCAGCTCAATGTTCTACAGATTAAACATTAGTGTGCGAGACTGATAGATTCTATATTCGTATCCCACGAGGCGGAGTCGTAAATGAGCATTGTCGAGGTAGTCCCATAATAGGATGAAACGATCATCCAGTACTTCCAGGTTTTCCATGGTGAACTAACTTCAATTGATTCATAATCTCAACCATTACATTTAATATAAGTAACAGTCATCTTTTTTAATATCAGGAGTTTTGTGGAGATTGTAGTAATTTCAATGGTTAAGATCATGAGTCAGTTGAAGCCAGACCACCATGGAAAACCTGAAACCACTGAATGGCCGTTTCGTCCTATTATGGGACTCCTCAGCAGTGCGCATTCATGACCTCGCCCCCTGCAAGATTCGATACATCTGTTCTAATAATTTACTCCCTTAACAACATCATTTAAAATGAATAAAATGAATATTTAAAAAATTCTTTTTTTTTAATAATAAACTTACAATATAATGCTTCATTTCTATGTCGAAACCATACAGTCACATCCATTCTATATCCATCTGGATCAAATATTTCACCGCCAACTTTAATTACTGATGTTTCATAAGATTTTGCACTTGGACTAACTGAACCACCACGTAAATTTAATGATTTCCCTGGTGCCATTTATTAATTATGTTTATAATGATCAATAATAATAATCAATGATTTAATTAAATATTGATTAATAATAACTAATCAATAATGTATCCACAAATCGATATTCAAATATTATTATTATTAGTATTAATCTTGTGAAATATCTTTCTTTTTTTTTTAAAAAAAAAATAATAAAACAGTAACTGGGATAGTTAATTGAATTATGAAAATAAATAAATCGTTGATTTGTAATTCAAAATTATTTCACATAGTTCCCTCACTTCAAGGTCAGTTACTGATGTTTGTGATTGGTTAAAAATTTCGACCAATTAAATAAAAGTTTTTAAAAAGAAATAAAAATGCGTAGGTGTTATTTGGCCATAGATACTAATAATAATAATAATAATAATAATAATAATAATAATAATAATAATAATAATAATAATAGTAGTAGTAGTAGTAATAATAGTAACCTTTTTCCAATCTTTTCCAATCCCATACATAATACAATGGACTATTATTACTACTTATACTACTACTATTATGATTATGATTATTATTAATTATGTTTTCAATGATAATCTTTTCCTATTTTTAAAGAAAGAATAAACAATATAACATTATTAGGTAAAAAGAGGTTCGAGCAAATTTGTTATGTCTCTATCTATATGTTCATTCATGTGTTTTTTTTGTGTGTGTTTTTTTTCTTGTTTTTTGTGTTTTGTATTTTTCATCTTTAATCATTATGTAATCTAAATGTTTTACACACCGGGAACTAATATTACATGTACCGACATAAATATTTACAGGTGAATAAATATGGATACATTCATTTATTTATAATGATCTATAATTTAGATGAAAAGAACACAAAACACATACACATACACAAACACACACACACTTACACTCACACATACACATACATAACCAATTTGGTCGATCCATATACATTTGGGGGGAGGGGGTGTTACAAATATATATAGATAGATGCATAAAGTAATAAACCAATAGTATTTAAATAAAATTGATGTAATTTTCCCATTTTGTAAATGTTTCATCATTGATTATTTGGTTATGATACAATAAAAATTATATGAAAACTGACGTCAAATTATAAACACATATGTGGATCACCTTGGCTACTGTTTTAAAGTTCAAATATACCCAGAGTTTTATTCACATCAATCTGTATACTCTTTTTAAACATTTATTTAATTCAATAGATAAAGAGAGAATTCAACACATTATAAAATCAGAAAAGGGGTTTTTTATAGAGATTATAGGGATTTTCATGGTTGAATTCATGAGTCAGACCACCAAGGAAAACCTAGAAGTACGGGATGTCTGTTTTGTTCTAGTATGGGTCTCCTCAACAACAACTTACGTCATCTATGGCGAAGGCGAGATATCCGTCTATCAATTAAGGGACGAGTATACTGCGCGGCAGTTCGTTCCGTCCTTCTATACGGCTGCGAAACTTGGCCTTTAAGAGTAGAATATATTCGTAAGTTACTAGTATTTGACCACAGGTGCCTTAGAAATATTGCGGGTATCTGCTGGGATCACCGGGTAAGTAATAGTGAGGTTAGACGCAGGGTATTAGGGAATGATGGTAAATCAGTTGATGAGGTTATGAATCTTCATCGACTGAGATGGTTGGGCCACGTGCTGCGTATGCCTGAACACCGATTACCACGGCGCGCAATGCTAACCGGCGTTAGGGATGATTGGAAGAAAGTTAGGGGCGGCCAAACCAAAACGTGGCATCAGTGCTTGAAGTCACTAACTTCTGGTCTGAGCCATGTTGGTAGATGCAGACTACTTGGTTGGGGTCCGCGTGACTATCGTAACCAATGGTTGGAGACTCTTGGTGACATGTCTCAGAATCGATCACAATGTCGTCGGTGCATACACTCTCTATCTTCCTTTAACTAAGAGATTAAAATCACTTCAAATCTTTCTTTCTACGAACTAATTCTATCTTCCTGTACTATCTCCTTATACACAATCTTTCTTTTATATAGTACTACCTTAGAAGTGACTACTTCTATGAATTCGGTGTTGATCTTGTTGTGCTAATGCGGTATGGCAACTTGGACCGATGCATATATGGGCCTGGTCCTACGTTGCAGCTGACTGACTGATTGACTGACTGTGAATCCACAATTAACCAGACGTGATTCGAACCCAGGACCTATCAGTCTCGCAAGCGAACTTTTAACTTCTAGACAACTGAACTGGCATCCAACGATGCTAATAAATAATTTCAATTAATCCACGAGATTGAGCGACACATCCGATATTGTTTTCAATGAGTTACTATCTCACAATAGACTCAGTTGAACTCCACTGGTCACGGCTTCTCACTAAAACCTCTTGAAGCCATTCACTAGTGAACACATAATGATTATTATCAGAAGTGGCGTTCTGTTGAATTCTTATCCAGCGCATTTTACGAAAATAAATTGTTCTTACACAAATTGATGGGCTTTGAATACATCAGTGCTTTTGTGTCATCGATTTTGTATGTAGATTAATCAAATAAAAACTGTTGAAATAAATTGAATTGGTTAAAGTTAGACATTAACACCATTAAATGTCGGTTTAGTGCTCTAGAGTTTAAGAAATCACGCGCGAGACCCAAAATCCCGGGTTCTAATCCGCAGGAAGGATTGTGCATGCGCACTATTGAATCCATTACCAGAACGAAACGGCTTAATGCATAAACATGTAAACATGTATTAGATACATAAATGTTTACATTCAACATGTATATGTTTTCTTTTTTAAAGAAAATTAATATCCCTGTTATACAAAAACAATTTACTCATGATATTCAAATGTACTGACTACACTTTTTGGTGAGACTATAATTCATGAATGAACCAATCAGATTTAGAGGAACAGATCTTAGATTTTGGCGCGAAATTCATTCATCCATTTGGCTAAATAAAGTTTTGGCATTATAGTTGATGTCAGTCGGTGATGGGAAACCCTAAATTTAATTCCTAACCCCTAATTATCAACTGTAAATCGTCATTCTAATTCTTCACATGTGTTCGTAACCTTTATTTAAACCTCAGTAAGTAGGTGGACATTCCCAACGTCATTTCGGTGTTACTGAAAGGTCACTAGTTTATAACCCTTATTTAAGCCCCAGTAAGTAGGTGGACATTCTCAAGGTCATTTCGATGTTGCTGAAAGGTTATTCATGGATTATAGTTTTGAGATGATGGAGAAGATTTGTAGCTCAGGTGGATGATCTTGATGTAGTTTTGTTCTCTGAGCTGGATGGTTCGGTCGTGGAGCTTTTATCGTTCTTCTGAACGACATCATCAGCACAAACTTCAGGTAGAAGTGAAGTACACGTGGACAACTGCGGACACACATTTGATTGGAAAAATGTGGAAATCCTGGATAGAGGAAATTCCAAAAACACCAGGGAATTTTTAGAAGCCTGGCTTTCAGGTCAATCAGCAATCAACAAACACATTGAAATCGATCCAATTTATCAAGCAATCAGGAACAAGAATCAAACCAGTAGGAGACACAACCAGAACAAGGAAGTAAACAATAACAAATTTAAGGTCAATAAGAACCAATCAACATCGAGGTGTACAGAACAAGCTGTGGAACTCATATGGAGAAATTCGAACACTTCACTTCTATCTGAAGTTTGTGCTGTGGATGATGTCGTTCAGAAGAACGATGAAAGCTTCACGATCAAACCATCCAGCTTAGAGAACAAAACTCCATCAAAATGAATTATAGTCTCACTAAATTACGCTTTTATATAACTCAGATACCGATTAACCACAATTCATATTCATTCATAAATGCTTACGATCTTATCTGATCCACAAATATATATTATGATACATTCATGTGCTATTCCAGTAATTTCATTACTCCAACTTCAATACTGTAAATAATGACTACTTATGTTCTGTCCCTTTTACTTGCCCATTTAATATCAGTTTAGTAGATTAAGCTGTTTAATATTGATCTAGCGTAATCAATCAAACTACATTCACTTTATCGATTATATAATAGGGTTTACGAAAATTGATTAGAATGTTTAAACTGACTAATTGTCATGACTACAAATCATCATTAAAAATGTAATAAAACTTCACGAACAGTGTTAACATGTAATCATTAACTATAGTAGAATTTGAGCTTCATTATACCTGTTACCCTTTATAGAGGAGCATAGGTCACCTATCAGCATTCTCTATCTAAATCTGTCCTGGGTAATCGTTTCTGGCTGTTCTCAATTGCCATTCATTTTTCTTTTCGATATCTGCTTCCTATTCTCGGAATAGTGTACTCTTTAGACTTCCTGTTTTTCGTTTCAGGATCCCAAGTGAGAGCTTGTATCATGATGCAGTTTGGTAATTTCTGCAATGTGTGTCCTATCCACTTCCAACGTCATTTCTCAATTTCTTTATCAACTGGAAACTAGTTTGTTCTTTCCCACAGTAGGTTGTTGTTGATGGTATCCAGCCAACAAACATTCAGTGTCTTGTGTAGACAATTGTTTACCTATATCTGTACTACTTTGATGATGATTGTAGTAGTTCTCGAAGTTTCAGCTCCCTATAATAGAATTAACTCTGTTGACGTTCGTATTGAAGATTCTGAATTTCATGTTGGCTGACAGACATTTGTTTTGAATTGCATATGTTTTTCAACTATAGGAATGTTGTCCTTGTTTTGCCAATTCTCACCTATACGTATGGATAAGATCCTCCACGTTCATCGATGATGCTACCCAGATACGTAAAACTTTCCACCTCCTCTAGAGTTTCTCCATCAAGCACTGGACGGCCGTCTCGTCCTAGTATGGGATTTCTCAGTCTCACGCTCGAACGCTAAACCTCAAGACCACTGAGCCGATATCAAATGTTGTTAATGTCTAAGATCAATCAATCTATGATCTTGCTCAACCCTTCGTCTATTGTCTGAGGTGGATAAATGTCTCACATTCGACATGGATTGAACTCGATCGGTCATGCATGTGC